AGAAGCACTTCCAGTAACGAGGGAGAACAGATCGTTAGGCAGAGCTAACGGTCCCCGGCCGTTACCTGGGTTGTCAACCCCAGTCTGGATGACATCATCCAGCGTAAACCCGCTGGGCGTCTGTCTGTCCCTCAACTTCTTGTAGAGGTCGGCGGTGAGCACCTTGGCCATGTGGTTGTTGTGCACGCTCAGGTCCGGGTACTCGTCCTCGGCCGAGTTCTTCATCTTCAGCAGGTTGTGGCTGTTTGAGAAGGGCATGCCTGACCCTAACGGGGAGAGAGGGCAGCCTGTGACCGGGGCTGCGCCACGGCCCGCGGTGGGACGGCCACCCGCAGAGACAAGGTCACCTTGGCTCCTGTCCCGCCTTTTTTTTAATCCATCTCCATGAGGAGAAAAAAAGAGAAGAAAACAAGGGGGAGTTGGCCACTTTCGGGAGCGTGGTGCTCCGAGCTGCCCCTCGCGGGGCTCCTTCGCGCTGCGGGGCAGCGCCCAAGGGCGCGCCGGGCGGCAGGTGCGCGCCGCGCCGCGGGACGGGACGGGACGGGGGGACACGCAGCGCCCGGCGCTGCCTCCCGTGCCCCCGCGGCGGCCGCTCCCCGCCCGCGATGCGGGGGGAGCCCTTATGCAACAGCCGCCTCCCGGGCCGAGGAGGGGAGCGAATGTAACCGCCCTGCTAAACACCGGTTCCCGCGGGAGCCTCTGCCTCCTGCCTGGTTACGTGCGGCCCCGCGGCGCCCGCCGCGGGCTCCCTCCCCGCCACGCCTTCGCGACCCGACCAGCGAGAAAATACATCTGAAAAATCTATTTACATTATATATTTTTTACTTTTTTTTAAAGTATGCTGGCGAGCGCGGCTCCCCCGGGACTTACCGAGGGCTTCGCCGCAGCCAGAGACTAAATCTGTTCCCGCAACTACCACTGCCACCGCCGCCCTCGCCGGAGTGGAGCCCGTCGCCGCCGCCGCGCCTCTTTTATATAGAGCGGGACCCACCGCCCCATTGGCCGCTATTTATAGCCCATTCATTCCATTGGGCGAGGCGTCGCGGGGGCGGGGCGAGCGCGTCGTTGCGGGCTGGGCTGGCGGGGYCGCCATTTTGGTGGTAGCGCAGCGGGGCGGGTGCCGCCGAGGCCGRGGGGCCGGGGCAGCCCCGAGGGGCCGCGGTGCGACCGGAGGCGCGCGGCTGCGTTGCCTCGGCCGAGGTGCTCCTTAGAGTGCCGTGTCACTAGATCGGCGGGCACCAGCGCGGGGCTTCTTGCCACCCAGGCGCCCCACCTCGATGGTGGGCTCGTGGGCACGTGTGGAACCTGCTGTCGTTCCTAAAAATAAAAGTTTCAGGGTGACGAGGCCAGTCTGACCCCAGCCTGGCGGTGATTTGGCTGCCCCGCCYGGTAAAGGCTATTGATAGCGGTTGGGAATGTCGGGCTTAGCCACCAGCACCTGGAAGGAATTAGTGGGTTCACTTTACAGTTAAATCGGAGGATCTACCTCTTTGGTCTCTGCGTAGCCACGCTGAAGGCAGTGGGCTCATTTTGCAGTTTAAATTGAAAGAAAGTACATTTATTGTGTAAAGCACAGCATGCCTCCTACTCTGTCATATGTCCTACATATATATATATATATATAAAAAACATACATAAGTTGCATTGGAGAGTGGCGGTTCTCTTGTTGAAGGCAGAAGGGCTGCAGTTTGATCTATTTAAAACTCACCTTGAATTCATGAAAATAATGCTGTTAGCTTCCAGTGGTGTATTTATAGGGATGACGAGGATTTGCTCCAAAGCTAGAGAACCTGAGATCTCCATGGTTTTCAAGAAATCAATAAAAAGAATGACTATCTTGATCTTACTTTCATCTTCATAACGCTTCATAATCTTTCTCCTGTGTGTATCTGTCGCACCAAAACCCATGTTTATCCTCCTGTCCTGTTAGGTAGTACCATAATCCACATGAATTCAGATCTAAGTCAGTGCGTTGTTTTGTTTAACAGGAGTTGGGAGTGCCTGGAGACCTCCATAGGAAAGACATCCATAGGAATTATTTCCCCACCACAGTTCTTTCAGCACCACAACCAGTGCCCTTCTTTAGAAGACAAGGGTGAGCAGTATACAGAGCTGTTTAGGGTGAAGAAAAATCACAGGAAATCACTGCAAAGTAAAAACACAGACCATTTCACATAAAAATGCATTGTGTTTGGCTGCCGTCCAAATTTCCAAATTATACCAGGTCTGATATACAGAGATGCTGAATATACAGATCTCTGGAAGTCAAGGGCTTGGCATGTGTGCAAGTCTGATCTGTTATCTCCCGGATCAAAGAACAAATCCTCTCAGCGTCTCCTCTGCCTTTTTAACCTCACAAAACCCCAGCCTTTTAGCAGTTATGTGTATTCGCATAATGCTCATACTTCGATATAGCACAAATTGCAAATAATATCTTTGCTGCGCAAGTATGAAGTGAATCTAAGCGTAAAATCAGACCCATTTGTAATTCTTTATTATGGCAGATATTTTTAATTTAGAAGAATATAAATAATACTAAGAATGCACCTTACATTAGAAGCAGGTTTTTGGTGTATTTCTTTGCAAACTGCACGCTTGGCTTAGCGGAGAAGGTACTAAATGCTCCTTCTGTCATATTCCAAAATCTATCACCAAAACCAGAAAAACATCTTTATCTCWAGTGTTCTGCAGATGCATGGAGCCAAGCTCACCTCAATAATCCAATTTCCAGGCATCCATTTCTCTTTATTTGATATGCTCTTTTCCTCCCAGTCCTCTGGAGCAAGGAATACCAGTCACTATAGTTACCCCAAGCCGCTGGCGTTCTCAATGTGCCATTCATGATGGCACTTGTGATGAACACACGCACATCTCACGAGCCTCACAAGGCTGCTGTCTGAAAAAGAAAGGCACTTGAAAGGAGGGTCGTGGTGTAAACATAACCAAAATACATCCTATTTACATGGTGAACAAACACCGCACCTTCTGTCTCCCCTTTTTCATCATTATTTGACAAATTTCTAATATGCAAAGTAGCAGAAATGGCTATTACGTGACTGGGCTTTATTCAGGCTGCATTTAACGTGCTGAAAGCTGCATGTAAATTGGATCCTACCTCTGTCACAGGCGCCCAGCTTCCCAAGTGACTTAATTACAGGTGCTRTGCTTTGTGTCAACAAACTCCGATCAATCGTTTTATCTGGCTCATCTGCTGGGAAAATACTTTGTTCGGGTAAGCCTGTATTGCCTGTTAGACTACGATCAAGGCACCAAAATGTGCCTTGTGCTCTAGGATGAAACCTTAGTGCCTACTGACTTACCCACCACATTGCAGTTCTGCAGTGAAGGTGGAAAAGTGGTTCCAAAAACTGCTCCAGAGATTTCTGTACTGCGCTTAAATAATGAAGAATTAAGGGACGTTAATCATACAGCGTGCAACTCGCTTCCTAAGAGGCTTAATTATAAATGTTGTGCACTGTGCGGCTGCAAGAGGAGACGGGCACTTAGCTGGTGAACGCCTCTTCTGAAATTACTCAGGTGAACGTACAGCRAACCTGAAGAACTAGGGGATAAATCCAGCAGAATCCAGAAGAATATCCCAAACTGGGAAATGGCAAAGGAAAGTGGTTCACTATATATAACTGAATTGTTTCTAGTGCCTAACTGGTAAAAAACAATGGTTATAAACCATCCCTAAGCAGCCGTTGAAAAGGAAATGCAATACGTGCACATTGATAGATGACAGCACTTGGTTAGAGCTGCATCTGATGCTCAGGTTCCTAAATGGGGCAGGTTTTTTTGTTGGTGGTGGTGGTTTTTTTTTTTTTCATTTAAATTAAGCATTTAAGTATACCTGCCTATTATTATTGTTGGTGTATGTTTTCACACCGGTCTGTTGAAAATCACCGATAAGCTGATTGCCTGAGGTAATTAATAGTCTCAATCTTGTACGCAGCCTGGATCTCAGAGACAGGGCACCAGCATCTGAGCCATGACAAACACAACCAATGACCCCAACAAAACGACACAGAAGGAAAGGAAACCACCAKAGGTGGGAACATAAAGGCCCAGCGGAGCCAGGACTGCCAGGCAGAACAAGAGCCGAGTGGGAGTTTGCCGTTTCAGACACCCCCGAAACTGCACACATGATGTGGASATGAGGCGGGTTTCATAACCGGGTAGCTGGGGCTGCACGAGGGCGATGGGGACACGGGTTGTAACGTGACACAGCCATGGGCCTGGCTCCCCACGGGGCTGCGACCCTGCAAATCACAGACATTGGCTGGTAAGTTTGCCGTTACTATGGCTTCGAAACCTAAAAAAAAAAAAAAAAAAAAAAAAAAAAAAAAAAAAAAAAAAACCAAAAAAACCCCTCCAATTTTTAAAAGAGAAACTGCAGCATTTTCAAAATCATAATTTACAACAAAAATAACTATTGATTCACTTAAAATAACCAAATGTAAGATCAAAAAAGAAAAATCAATATAACTTTTCCCTT